ACTGGATTTTCACCTTTCTTCTTCTTTATGGACGCGAACCATCCCACACCATCGATACTCTCCTTCCATGCCGTCCTGACGCATCCGAATGCCCATCTGTGTCCGAAGCTGCCCGAAATGCGGAAGAGTGCCGTGAACTCGCACGCACCTTTACGTCACAAGAACAGCAGCGCCAGAAAGAAAACAACGCCGACTCTTCACAAAGTCACAGCTATTCCCCGGGATCACTTGTATGGCTGGCTGTTCCTTACCAAACCCTCGGCCTTTCCTCAAAACTCGTTCCAAAGTACGAGGTCCCATACCGCGTTTTGGAGCAAACCTCGCTGGTGAATTTTCTCATTCAACCACTTTCCCCATCTGACGACATGCGCCGGCGTGGACGTGACATAGTCCACGTCGCCCGCCTTAAGCCATATCATAGCCCTCTGCCTCCAGACTCTTAGGTCGCCAGGATGGCTCTTTTTCGGTGGGGGCAAATTGTGAAGAAGAAAACGGATCGTTGGCAAGCAACATCGCCACCACTTGGGTACTGGGTGCTGGGCTTCTCTCGCTCGGCTCGTGCTGATCATCGCCGGCATCTGCTTGGCCGTTGCTCTTTCCCGATCGTGTTTCATCGTAGGACCACCGTCGCAACAGTCGCCAATAAATCCCTTTTCAATACCAAGGTTCTACGCCACAAAACCACAGTATGATAATGAGGGACGCCGTAGAAGAGGGCTCCAAAATTTAGACCATCTGGTGTTTTCAATGTGAAGCATTTCTTTGCTTACTGTAGGCACTTAGAGCGTATTTCTGCGTATCTATTTACCTAGCCTTTTACGTGTCGGTGCTCTCATGACCACCTCTTTAACTTGGTGTAAATCAAATTAACTATCGGAAGGTAAACTTTTTTAACATGAATAATGTCACCAACACGTCACGTATATCACCGAACACTTTCCGAAAAAATTCGGCAGATCCCGCGTGCCTGGTAGTCGGCGTAGTGCGGGGCATGCGGAAGGAGGGTGACTGTATTGCGTTTTTTTGTTGAGCGACGCGTCATGAAATGGCGCTGAATACATGTACAAAATATGCACGCACAGACAAATGTTGAAGAGTTGCAGACGTTTATATAAGCAGTTGTTTTTACTTGCACATCGGTGCCAACTGGGACATGCGTATTGGCAACACCAGAGGCAGATACGAAGCGCTGATGCTCGCGAGGATGCTGGCCCTGGACATTGCTACATAAAGCAACTTCAGCGCATGGCGATAACCGCAATTGATGTTAACCCGGCGTGACGGCTGTGTCAGGGGAGTGCATGTGTAATGTTTGTAGGATTGGATAGGCAGCACGGCAACATCAATTAGCGTCTATTTGAAAAGTGTTTGAAGGCTTGGTGTCGCCTTCACCAAAGCTTTCGCCTTCCGAATCGGCATGGAAGACAGTGCTGCTTGCGGTCATTGCGGCAGCGATGAAACTATAGAGCACGTTCTCTGTCACTGCCCTCGTTACAGCGTGCAAAGACGGCAACTAGTATCTGCGTTAGCTCGCCTTGACGACAGACCTTTGTCGGAACAATCAGTGCTGGAAAGGCGACATGATTTGTGTGCTCACAGATAATCAGTGAAGGCCTTACTGAACTTTTTGCGTGGCAGTGGCCTATTGTATAGACTATAGCACCCCAGCCCCCTCCCCCTTTTTTTTTACACGCGTCAATTTCCCTCTTCGCTATCTTTCCCGTCTTTCTTCCCCATTCTCCCTTCCCCTAGTGCAGGGTAGCAAACCGGATGCTCCATTTTTCTGGTTAACCTACCTGCCTTTCCCTCATTTTATTCTCTCCCTCTCTTTACCTTGATGCCGCCAGGCGCCATAGGTAAAACGGAGAAATAAATAATACGCAACAAACTCGTATACTATATATACGCCCTCAAGAGACTGACTTTTTCCTCCATTTTACCACCGCGCTGTTGCTCGATAGAAACACAAGCGCGTCGAGCGAAGGCCGGCCGTGGCTACTTAGCCCAGTTTAGTCCTCGTCGGCTGATTTCGCCTTGGTACAGCCTAGTCTCACATTCAAGCCACGGTTTCTCAAGATCAGTAAAAAAAAAAGTACTCACTCGCGGGAGAATTCGATGACGCGACCACCGATGTCTCTTTTCGCACTCTCCAATCTCTGTTTTTTCTTTATATCCTTCTTTATTTAGTTGTTTGTTTCTTTCTTTCTTTCTCGGATGCGTGGGCTCTCGCGTGTCCCTTTTATCGCCACGTCAGTCTCCACCGAGACGCGGAGGATGCAGGGTCGACAACGAAGCGTTGTCGCTGGACACACCGTCGGCTGCACGCTACGCACGTTGCATTAGGCACATGCCAGAGGCGATCAACCCACGCGTGGGCTAAATTGAGATTCAACTCGGAGCGCTGTGCAAACCGCACAGGCATGTATCGCTGCAGGGCCGCTAGTGAGTGACGAACCATGCTTGCTCCCCGGAATGATCATGCGTGTGACAACGCACACCTGGTATGATATAAACAAGGAAAAATATTGAGAAAATATAGATTAAAAAGTTTGAGAGTTTCGTCACTGCCCTTTCGTCAACGCTAAAGTCTCTAAGCCTACCTCGTCCGTTCAATGTTATCATTCAGTCCCCGTCTTTTCACTCGCAGTGAAAGAGTACAACTTTTGAAAAGAGGGCATTCTTACAGAGTAGCCTTAGGCGGTTCGTAATTCTTGTTCTCAACGTTGTCGCTGCACGGCATCTTCATTCCGCGTTTCGCTACCACTTGATCGACCTGATGACAGCCACTAAATGGCTGTCAACGGTAGTGAAAACAAAAAATTGCCCGCAGCTTCCCTCGGGGGAACACTGAGGAGGATGCGGACCATATAATTGGTTAACGGGGTGTTAAAGTGCGACTTACTTGGGTCGATGGCTAAATTGGTTAACGTGGTTGTGAAATGGGGTGTTAAATTGCGACTTACTTGGGTCGATGGCTAAATTGGTTAACGTGGTTGTAGGAGGGGGTGTTAAATGAGTGAACACGTACACACGTATGCGAAAGGGCGGCGCTGGTCGAAGGGACGTCGATCATTGTGTTTGTGGATTCGTTGGAATTCATTTCACCGCGACCTTGGACGTCGACGCGCCGTACAAACCAACCGACGAGCGGCAACTGAGCGAGCGAGCGCCGACCTTGAGTATATATACAGCACGACGGCGCATGCACTGTCAGCTGTTGAATGTTCTCGAAGCGCGACGCCACATGCGCGTCCACTGGAGAATCAGGAGAATAGACCGATCCCACAGGCCAGTTTCGCGACGCCACCGCTGCCGCGGCAGCCGCGGTGCATGCCGGTACTTGTAGTCGTCCGGGCGCACCAGCCAGCCGAAGTGCCTGAGCGTTCCCTTTTCGATAGATTTTTCGGTCGTGTGGAGCCGTCTTACGATGGGAGGATTTACGTGCTGTGTTCCTGGATGCTACAACAACAGCACAAGGGATAAAGGCTTGGGTTTCTACGTCTTTCCTAAAGAGCTTCGGGAGACGTGGATTCAGCGTATCAACAGGGCTGGACGGGGCGGCAGGTAAGACATCTTATTAAATGTATAGTGCCGCTTTGAAACTAAATAAGCGTATTGCGGTGGTTTTTTTATGTGAATGTTTAATCATGAAGCTTAGCATACCAAAGAATATGATCTTTGCTCACTCTGCCTGCGTATACTCTTACCGGATAGCTCAGCCGCGGTTCGCGGTTGTGCATGCCGGTCATTTTTTAGCGCATCTTCCTTATTCTAGCGTTTTTTGTTACCGCTGCGTACTAATATTATTATTATTACGAGTTGTAGTGCTGAGGTCTTTTAGTTTTCCATGTTGCGCAAGTGCAGCACCGCGTACGCGGCTTGCGTTTTTTTTTTTTTTTTTACAACGCAAGTGGCAAGCATGCAGGCATAAGGGGAAGGCAAGCTCATTGACGAGGCTCTCCTAATAGCTCTACCGTACATCGAGACCTTACTTTTTAGAAACGACGTAACGTACTTCACGGCACGCTTGCAACAACGTACCCAGAACTCGTTGTGCCAAACGGCGATTAGCTTTCGCGGATCACCCTCGATGCAAACGGTGCCTCTGTAATCTCGTCCTTTCCGTAAATAGTTATCTGGTGCATGCACGCGGCCGATTTCGCTGCACCTATGCAGATGAGTGGCACAAACAGCTGTATAATTTACCTGTGTGTGGCGTTGTCGAGTGAGGCTGAAAATTAAAATTACATTTGTCATTTGCCCTTGACTGATATGGAACTTTTTGTACGTTAATCAAGAGAAAGTGATACTGTTGTCTTGCAGTGGTAGCATGCAGACTGGACATTTAAAAGGAACCTGAAAACGCAGTAGGTGATGTTCAGTGTGATATGAAATAATGCTGGAACTTTTTGTGCTCAGGTTCTCCAAGTTTACGCCTACCACGGGACACCGAGTATGCGGTGCCCACTTCGAAGGAGGAAAAAAGACTTACATGAACAGAGTGCCCACAATCCGAGTGCCCACAATCTTTACCGAGCACCTTAATCTCGAACATGCGAGCATTTTCGCTTTTTGCCTGCGTAAGAAAAGCGGAAGCCACGGCCGAAAATCGAACCCGCATCCTTGGGCAGCACAACGCCGCGGGCACTGAGCCATGTAGCAACCCGCAGAATAAAAAAAGTGAAATGAGTACATTTAAGGTGAGGTGACATGTGACGTTGCTTCCAATAATTTTTAGCTGAGAGTGAGTGCTTGTCCCAATGTGCTTCGCCTGTGTTGTATTTTTGCGCTCTGGGTTTTACAAGCGTGCACCAACTGCCTAACGAGTAGTTTTACTGAAATTTACTTTAATTCAATCGATCCATCTTAGAATGCAAACACAAGGTGTTCAAGCTGAGCAATCTTGCAGTAAGCTTAAAGAAGCATGCTTCGGGGAATTAAATTACCTGTACGTTCTTAGCAGGTATCTTGACAGACAGAAAGGCAGTAGTGGGGGCTAATATATCTGGCCATGAGGGGAAGGCTGACAAACACCCCTTGAAATAGAACCCTGGCTACGCGACTGATCAGTGTACAGTTGGCCTTTTATACCTAAAATTCCATCCAGTCCCCTTTCTCCCTTCCCATAAATGTTGCAATTTGTCGCGGCCATCACAGAGACCACAAACAAAAGGCAATAAAAAAAGATAACTGGTGCTGACATACCTGGCGAAGCCTGTTGTCCAAAAAATCCAGCCATGTTACCCAGATCCTCGAAACGGTTGACGTAGAAACGCCAAACCTGTACGAAAAACAAATTTGCAAAAAATGCGCATCAGTAATTTTCTGCAGCACAAACAAAAGAACCTACGGTTGCAATGAAGATGTCATTGCAGAAGATGCTTAAACGGTACTGAATTCCTTTTGTGTAAGCACCTTGTTACTTCCAGTCATTTTCATTATAAACGATAAGTGAAAAAGTGCTGCATACCATTGCTGATATTTTGAGGAACGTACGGATACACAGCATGCTGCATTCCCCCTATGCACAAAGTAACTAACAAAACCAGCTACGCTCGGCAGGAACACTGAAATTTGGCTTAAACTTGAATTTCTCAGTGAATGAAAGTTCGTTTGCTCCCGGACAAGCACTAAGGGTATTACAAAATACCAAATCTTTTGAATAAAGCAAACTCGTATTTTGTCTTCATGGCCCCTTTCGGGCTGATTGGGTTATGCTTGTTTTCCTCACAGCATATTCATAAATAACATTATACACAGTATGCCCGCGTAAATGTATTGGCATGGTAACAGAGTTTCATTAGTCACTCCACTTGGACCTTATGCAAAGGCAAAAATGAGTACTGATGCAAAAAAAAAAAACACTTCAACGTTGGCAGCGTACCTGTACGCAAGGTCAAGGCCGTCAAGGCCCAGCCGTAGCCTCATCAGGACGAGCACAAGCTGTGTCTTCAAAGGCAGGATGAAGTTCCGGTCCTCGTTCTCCGTTTCCTTCATCTGCCAGAACCGCAGCTTTTTCGCATCTGGTTCAAGTAGGGACCAAAAACTGTCGAAGGACTTTCTGGATGTAAAGCCAGTGTAGTACCGCAGCTTCTTTTCATCTTCTACAAGGGCTTCATACGTGATGTCAATCTTTTGTGTAGCTTCAGCCTTGCACCTCTTGACTTTCTTCTGCATACAGGATAGCTCAAGCCGCAAGCACCTATTCTTCTGCTGAAGGCGGTCACATAGCTTTTTTGCTTCAGCGTGGTCCTGTTGAGAGTGTTTTAGCTGGCGGTTGAGCTCTTCAACATGCGCGTAAGCAGCTTCAGCCTTTTCTGCTAGCTCAGTTATTATATTAGTTTGGCAAGCAACTTTCTTGGCAAGCTGGTCATAGCTTGACTCTTGGCTGCTGTAGGCATGGTACATGAGTAGAGTGCTTTGCTGTGCGGTGTCTTCACTGTCGCTGCTGCTACTAGTGATGGCAGAGCCTGAGACTTCTGGGTCGTGCTGGGGTGCCACAGTTGGACTGTTGGGAAGTTCCGGCTGTCAGGGGAAAATGAAAAAAGAAAGCCATGTGTTTCAGTGATTTTTTACAACACACTGTGCAGCTGCAGGTTAGATTTCCAATACTGCATTTTATACCTTCACACGAGTTTAAGTTTACTCGGCATCATTGCTTTTTTTACGCAGTAGCGCAACCCTTAAGTAGCCATTGCCTGCATTAAGCCATAACAAAATATTCAGTGGTGCATATGCAACAACGTAATGCTATTTCTCTGCATTGCTTGCGCTCAAATTACCTGTGTCCTTATGAGTGGTCGCCTCCTTTCCACCTTTTGCGGTCTCAGCGGGACCGCAAAAGGTGGAAATCCCCAGGTGGTCAAAATTAATACGGAGCCCTCCACTACGGCGCGCCTCATGCCTGCATTGCATCGGCGGATTAAACCACACAATCAACAAAGTTACTGAGCCTGTAGCGTACCACTTTAATAAAGAGAAGAATTTTTGCATACTACAGAGCCTACAAGATGGGTAGGGCTTTGTGGCACTAGGAATAGTTCAAGAAACGTTACACTTTCTGAAACATTTGGGTGTCAGCATGCTCTTTTTTTCCCAAATAGCACTCATCAGTTTTAGAGAATCATGACTGCCGAGTTAAGTTTGCATACCTGACAATGGGCTCCTTTCCAAAGTATGGGTTCAGGGAGCTTGTTTTGCAGGTCCACCCTTGACTGTTGTGGTTGTGTAATACAGATGCCATGGCACAGCATTACACGGAGCTGCAAAAAAAAAACAGAGCCTGAAGGTTAGTTTAATCTGAACATAGCCAGCTAAACTTTCTGCTAAGCCAATACACTTTCTTAGATTACATATTTTTATCAGGGCGTTACCCTCTATTGGTGGAACATACAAACATCTGCATGCTGCGTACTCTATAAAAGAACCCCGGGCAGTGTCAGACAGTCGGTGCCCGTTGTCCACGCAGAAGCCAGGCCAATGAACCAGCTGCACGTATTAATAACATAATATGCCTCCACTGCATGATGCTCGTACCCGATGAGTAGTAGTAACGACGTGTGGACTAGTTGGTGTGGTAGCATCATGCAAAAAAGCACAAAAAACAATGAAACGCAGCAGTAGTTCTCATGAGAAGAAAAGAGAAGAATCGCTCGCCCTGTTTTCAGGACCTTACCAGTACCAAATCTTTAGTCACATGATAGTAATCCCATGACAGGGACTGCACTTTACTAGTGCTGAGATAATCTTCACTGTTGCACATACTGCACACAGTAAATACTCTTAAGAGAAAAAAGCTTAGCGAAGTAGAAATTACAAAGACCATAAACAACAGGGCTATAACAACGAAAAAAAATAACTGCAATGAAATAACGCAGGACCACGACAAAAGCCATAATAAAAACGCAATCCATGAAAAGAATATTGATTATTTAAAAATGCAGCCAATGCATTACTGTACCGCAAGAATGCAGTTTTCTAGGCGATGCCGTCCTCCAACCACACGAACCTGCAGCTCTCTGGTAACTGCATGTACAGAGGTAAATACTGTTAACAACGCACGAACGCGTGGCTTTCGATACGTGCAGCACAGCCTGCTGATAGCCACTGGCGTAACCAGCGATATTAGGTGACGGCGCTGCGGCGGCTTGGCATGCGAAAGCTATTGCCCATGCTTCCTTTTTTTTTGGGGGGGGGGGGGAGGCAGGGAGAGATTCGACACCAGAAGTCCCTCACCACGACCGTCGCCAACACATAAAATAAACGATATCTGACGCTGATAACCAGCGAAGTCTGGATCATTTTCGCCTTTGGTATGGTTACTACGTTCCTCTTTCTTTATTTCGGAACTATATACCAAAGGCAATAAAAAGACAGCACTAGTTATCAGGGTAAGATAACGTCCCTTGTTGGCTCCGTATCCTTACATGCGGCTCAACCGACAAGTGCGAATGACTGATGAATGCGTATCACAGCTGCTAATGGAGAGCGGCGCGTTTGCATATTCACGTGCGCGAAACATGGGACGCTACAATGTCAAGAGTTTTCAAAATATAGCGACCGCGTCGTTCGGTGGACTAAAATCAGAACGCCACCCAAATTAAGAATTTCAAATATTATTACTACCAAATGCTGTATGTTGAACGCGACACTCGTGCACGTAAGTGCCGTAAGACACGAAAGGTTCGGCGCCGCATATAAAGCCTGTCCCCAACAGCACGTCACTGTGCAAACAAACGTTGCAATCCCCGAGATGCACATGCGAAAAAAACAGTCGCGCAGAACAACCGCTTACATACATCACTCAAATGAAAACGGTACTCAACAGGCAATGAACGTGTGGCTGTCCTAAGTCCCGCCGAAACGAAGGAGTAGCAGGCACTTATGACCGAAATTCGCGCCGCCTGCTCCCATTAACAGACAATGTAGGTATTGAAAATACTCACATGACGACTTTTTCTTGCTGGTGAAATTGGAGAGACGTCCGCGAAGCTCCGGCGCAGTACTGAAAAAGCGGTGGCCACTGCGTAGTCGCTGTAGTCTGGTTGACCGATTGACTACAACTAAGATGGCGGCGGGGCAACTCCGGAAAACCGGCGCATGCGCTGATCGGCTGGTGGGATCGATCTTCCCACACTGCATATCCCACACTGCATGTTGATAAACGCGTGTGCGGTGTATATTGAAGAAAAAAATTGCCCGCAGCTTCCCTCGGGGGAACACTGAGGAGGATGCGGACCATATAATTGGTTAACGGGGTGTTAAAGTGCGACTTACTTGGGTCGATGGCTAAATTGGTTAACGTGGTTGTGAAATGGGGTGTTAAATTGCAACTTACTTGGGTCGATGGCTAAATTGGTTAACGTGGTTGTAGGAGGGGGTGTTAAATGAGTGAACACGTACACACGTATGCGAAAGGGCGGCGCTGGTCGAAGGGACGTCGATCATTGTGTTTGTGGATTCGTTGGAATTCATTTCACCGCGACCTTGAACGTCGACGCGCCGTATAAACCAACCGACGAGCGGCAACTGAGCGAGCGAGCGCCGACCTTGAGTATATATACAGCACGACGGCGCATGCACTGTCAGCTGTTGAATGTTCTCGAAGCGCGACGCCACATGCGCGTCCACTGGAGAATCAGGAGAATTGTAGATGTCGAACGCGGTGTGTAGAGGAGGAAGGGTGCACAGATGGTGGAGGAGTGAAGCGCGCGCGGTGTGTAGAGGAGGAAGGGATGCACAGATGGTGGAAGAGTGGGCGACGGCGCGACGGCGCATGCGCGCGCGTCAGCTGTCGAATGTTCGAGAAGCGGTGCGGACGGTGCGGACGGCGCGGACGGCGCACTACAAGGCGCGAGTATAAGATGCTCCGCATCTAAAAAGGATGAATCACGTGGTTTCGAGATGTAATCGAGACCAAGTGATACATTAAATCTTATAAACTTGAGATCAATGACAAGGTGTTTTCGTAAGGCGGGGCTTTAACACAAAACCACGATGTGATCATGCGGCAGTCTTTTCGTAAAGGTGTCATTAAATATGTGAATTGTGCCACGAGGAACTTCTGAATCATAAGACAGGTCAAGTTTGGTTTAGGTGCACGTTAAAAAACCCCAGGTGGTCGAAATTTCCGGAGCCCTCCACTACGGCGTCTCTCATAATCATATGGTGATTTTGGGACGTTAAACCCCACATATCATATCAGGTCAAGTTTATCGTAACTCTGTACGTAACAAAGTTAGGCTGGAGAAAATAGGGAACAACTTCCGGTCATGGCAGCCGGATTTCGATGGTGCGAAATGTAAGTACATTATTCTACTAATCAATACACAGAAGCACATCGAGAGCCCAGGCGGTCAAGAATAATCGAAAATCTGCCACGACCACCTGTCTTACAACCATATGTTGGTTTTCGGCCGCTCGACCAAATAAAGCTTTATGTTAAACTTATCAGGAGTTATGTTAGGTGACCGCACAAGAAACGGCAGCACATGGGTGCAGCCAAGCAACCACATTTTATTCGAAGGAACCCGTGTCAGTTCACCTCGCATGCCTTCACAATTTTTGTATGCGGTGCTATGTAAGACATGGACCGAAAAAAAACGAAAATAAAAGACAGGTTGATCGCGAACCAACAGCTGCATTATTTCGGACAGTGATTTATCTTCGAGAAAGAAAGGAACCCGAAAAGCCCACACGAGGGCACGCGAATGCCGACGTGTGAGGTGTGACAATAGGTACCAACGACAATGATTGGGACCAACTGCAATTTTTAAAACAAAAAACATGTTCCTTCAGATAAAATCTGTCTGTCAATGGCGCAAGGGCGTTAAAATTTCTTTTCTCGTCGTTTCGAGCTCCTGCAATCGCATCAAAAAAAAAACGAGACGCTCGGTTTCCTATCCACTAGGTTTCTCGAAAATTGCCCAGTATAATCTCCCCAAAGACACGAAGTCTAGTTTACTAAAACATGAACGCCATCTTGTTTGTTTACAGCTGATCAGCAAATTGACTGCGAGTCACAAACCGACTTATATTCGGGTGAACTTGCGTTGTCTATTGAGAACTGTATATCACTGTATATCAAAAAGCTGTATATCACTGTATATCAAAAAGCTGTATATCAGAAAGCTGTATATCACTATTTGCAAGGCACTACGCAGCGGCACGCGTCCCTGTGCAACTACAGTAAGGTACAATTCAAAAAAGTCCTACAACACTTTTTCAAGTAACTATCTGATGAGTTCATTAAGGAAGTTTACTTTCTCACGAATAAATCACCGCAATTTTTTTTTTTTAGAATCCTTAATTTACCGGTGCAGTTACAGAGATTTGTCGCACGCTGCCATTACTTCCTCTCGTCTCCCGCCCCGACTGAGCGCTGGAAGCTGAGCAGGAAGGCATGGCACGGGGGAAAAATGCTACATCACCGACGCGTCATGATGTCGAGCATTTTTAGAGGCTTAGCTCCTTAATGTTGAGGCTTGTCCGTTGGCGGCGCTGGCGTGCGCCGTAGCCGCGATGACGATGAAACTGATAACGATGATGATCACAGACAACGACTGGCTTGTGCAGTAGATTACGTCTCGATTAGTCTCCACGATGCATTTCGTATGACTGGAGACTACCAACAACCACCTGCAGGAGAACGTGCACAGACCTCACCTACGCCAACTTCGGGCTAAATCGGATGTCACAAAGCAGTAATGATGATGGCAACACGTAATTCAAAATTCAACAAAGCATACCATTTATGACCACTGAATCTTGTATATAATAGTATACACCGCTTTGACACTCATTTACATGCGTCAGGGGCCAATGTCATGGGTGATTTACGGTAACATCGAACGATCACACTGCTTCGCCCACTCAACAGCATTCACTTTTTGGATATGCCGTTTTTTTCTTTTTTTTTCCTATGGCTTACTTTCAGTGTGATAGCGAGCGAGCGAGCATGTGGCAACCTTTCGCGGCGCGATCGGTAACTATAGGCAGTTAGTGATGAACAAATAATCCAATGGCCCTTAGTTTGAGTCTATGACGTGTTCATTTGTGTATATGGCGTCATTTGTAGTAAGAAGAGATGGTGATTTCTAGCTTACTTTGAGAAATATTTGTAAATTACAGGCCACGTACTTCGCTATGTAGGTTGGCTTCAGTGTTCTCAGGAGCTTCGACTACCAACCGGCAGCGTTTTCTGACCGTGCCGAAAACAAGTTGAAGGCCCCGCACAGACGTCCGAAGCATGGCAGCCGATCACCTCCACGACTCAAAAGAATATCTGCCCCGCTTGTGCACTTGGCAGTGTTTTCGGAAGGCGGGTGCCCCTCCGGCAGTCCGGCTCATGACGCAAGTCGGGAGAGCGTGCCCGTCGGTGCAGATTTGGGGGCATCCGCTTTTTAGGAGGAAACAGGGCGGACTTTTCATGCTGTATCCTATAGTTTCGTTGAAGAGGAGCGAGTTGGTATTGCGTATAACAATGAAACGCTCTAAGCTGCCGTAATACGTGTGACGTATCATGATTCATAAGCGGGTGTGTGCCACAGAAATTGGGCGAGTCCCACTAGTCACCCCTGGTCCACTAAAAATAAAAAATGGCAGCATATCCACGGAGTGAATGATGGGGAATGGGGCGAAGCATTCGTCCGTCCATTCGTTCTCGCTTCCGTCCGTTCCTGCGTACGTCTGTGTAACCGTCCATGCGTCCATCCACCCGTCCGTGCGTGCGTCTGTTCGTGCGTCCGTCCCTGCGTTCGTCCATGCATGTGCCTCTGCGTCCATTCATGTGTCCATCCTTGCATCTGTCTGTGTGTCCGTTCGTCCATCTGTTCAACACTCCAAGTACCACCACCTCGCATCTTTTCATAATATATTCCCCACATAGAAGCACCGCCATCCAGCGGACATTCCAAGGACTAAACGAGAGGTGGCACACGCACACTTTCTTACGGCTTGCGCTTCGGGTCTACTTCCCACCTTTAACCACCTCGAGTTCACGGTATATACTAGTCCACTGTATTCATGGCTATGTGGCCCAACGCTCGCTAAACCTTTCTAAAACCAAGGAGGTTACACCCAGCGAGTATGACGTAGCAACCCTTTCTTGTCAGATCGTGCTCAATGTACATGCCAATAGCTGCTAATGGGGATCGCAGCGTGCGCGTTACCTAAAGGCCGAATGCTCCTGTCTCTCATTCCGCCTTAGCAGCCATTAACATGTGCATTGAGCACTATCTTTTATTGTTCAACAACGCACAGAAGAAATCTCTCACCGGAACCACCTTGGAGGTCAAAATCGTAAGGACCGCTATTTCGGGTATGTGCCACTGGTGGTTACGTACTACGAGGGATGCACAAGCCACGCCATAAGGAGCTTCGCCCCTAAAAAGGCAATAGTTAGCCACACAATAGGGAAACGGCAAAGGCAAGAGCAGTTACGAGAAGACTAGTAAGCAATGAAAGGCCTCCGCCAACGACGACGAGCCCATGAATTTATAAAAGGTTTATGAACGCATGGTTTCAGTGCTATTTTGTCTCTAGTTGGGCAGCCACGTCACGCCTGTGACTGTGGGAATCATGCGAAGGCTTGGCTTTAACGCAATTTATTGCCTCTGAAGTTTGTGTCTGTGACTGTGTGTGGCCTCTCTTCCTTTCTTTCTGCGCTGAGAAGAAACGTAGAAACAACCTACCATTACACAGGCGAATCTGAGGACATGACATCCCTCCTATGTGCGTGTGGGGAATAGTTTCACGTTTGGGTACAATCTTCCCATTCCGTTTTCTTTTCTTTATTTTTTGTGAACAACTTTTTTGTAATGAGGTTTTTGCGTCCCAAAACCCAAACGACGACCTGGTTATTGGGGACGCCGAAGTATAGGGCTCCTGAAATCTCGACCATCCGGTGTTCTTTAATGTTGCACCGACGCATACGCACATGGGCCTCTAACGCTTCGCACTGTCGAA